AGAGGCTCGGAGACCAGCCCTCCTCCTAAGCTGGGGGCAGTGACTCACAGGTAGTTACCTGCCCTAGGGCTCCCTGCCAACCCAGGGAGGGAGCCGGAGGGGAGGCATTTAGAGTTTAGTCTTGCGTACTCCTCTTAAGCTTCCTCGGGTGAGTTGGGCCTTGACCCCTTCCTGATGAGCTGGAGCCTTTTCACGCTCTCCCGAATTCCCCGAGAAGCAGGGATTTTCCACCGTTTCTGTTTTCTGTGGGGAAGAGGCGGAGCTGGTGCTTTCCGGGGTCCTGGGTGTTTGGGTCTCCTCACCTCCCAGCCCGTGCCAGGTCCAGGCGGTAACACCCTTTCTCCAGCCCTGATCTTGTGTCCCCTGCTTGGTCTCCTGTCCAGGTGGTCTAGGACACGAGAGGAAACGGACCCCTCCGAGCCTTGAGAAACGCCAAACACAGCGCCTGCCACAGATGCCGGCGCCCTGCCTGCCCCCCGAATTCTGGTCTGGAATGCCCCTGAATACTTGCCTGGTGCTTTCAGCAATGCTCCCTCCCCTCCACCCCCAAGGCACCCACGGGCAGGCGGGTACTGCCAGGCTTGCTGCGAGGCCCCTGGGACCGACCCACTTGCCCAGTCCTGTCCTGGGGCTGTGGGGCTGTGGGGCTGTGGGGCTGCAGGGCTGCGGTGACGGCAGATGGGCGTGCCAGCTGCCAGATTCCTGAGACCCGCCCTGCAGTGGGCTACGCCCAGCCTGGGAGTCTCCAGAGGTGAGGCCGTTGTTTAAAAACTGGGAACCAGCAGCGGAGACCCCCACATTCAAGGGGTGCTCGCAGAAAGGCGATCTGGAGGAAGGACAGTGGCAGCAGGGAGCCAGGTCAGAGAGCCAGGTATGTGTGCGGCCCTTGCCTGCCCGGTGGGGGTGGGTGGGGAGGAGGGCTCTGCTCTGGGCGGCTGGGGCCTGGCTGCAGGGCCCGTTCTTTCTCTTCCTGCCGCCTCACCTGAATGAGCCACCTGCAAAGGCTCCATTGAATGTCTACCTCTGTTTGAATTGCCTTTTCACATCTGATAAGCGGCTCAGCGACTTGGGAGAAAGCAAGTTCAGACCGGGGCTGAGCACAAAGAGGAGTGGGAAGGGTGGGCTGGCCAGGCCAGAGCTCTTCTGAGGCCGCTCCCAATGCCTTATCCTGGGAGTGAGGGGCAGAGACAGCTCCAGAGCCAAACCAGAAGCTGGATCTTCCTCTTGGGCATGATTAGCTGCATGACCTCAGGTCACCTGTCTCCTCCCTGGGCCCCTGACGCTTCTGGGAACGGTTTGGAAGGAAGGATTCCAAAGCATTAGGATGTATAACTTAAAGATGCCAGGAGAGGCCCAGTTCCCTCTCTGGTCCTGCCTTGCCAACCTCCCGCCCCCAGCCAACGGAGCTGTGGCTGACAGGAGCAGAGCGAGCATCCAGGCCCAGGCAGAGGCAGGTGCTGCATGAGCTGGGCAGGCCTGCCTGCCTCTCACCCTTCCGGCATCCATCCCCGGCCTCCCTCAGTCCCTGCTCTGTGGCCTCCAACCCCACCCTTCCCGCACTGCCCTGGCCCATCATTAGAGACATTTAGGATTGCTTCTGGTTTAGATCAAATCCTCTAGGTCTCCCCATCACATTCCAGCTAACTGCCTAGGCTGGAGTTGTGGCCACCACAGCCTTACCCTCGAGGTGGCCCTCAGTGGTATCGAGGCCCTGCCCATGGAAGGACAGGGCTCCCCAAGACTTTCAGCCAATTTGACCCACTTGCCTTTGGACCTGTGGGCCGGGCCGGGCTCTGAGAAAGGCAGTCCTCTTTCTTGGGCAGCGACAAGGCCTCAGACCTCTCTGCAAAGGGCCCAGCCATTTATTGCTCCCCATGTTGTCCTTATGACTGGTGCAGGGGAGGAAGCTGAAGTCTGGGAGGGGATGGCATTCCCCCAGGGCACCCCATGAGTCATGCCAGCTGGGACAGTAGTCTAGGGTTCTGGCATTTTCCAAGCTTTTGGCTCCAGATGTACCTGTTGCTCAGAGGTGTCCTAGGTCAAGACCCCAGGCAAAGACTTCTGAAAAAATCTGAGCCCAGAAACAGGAAAAGGGGCTAGTGTGCCCTAGCGGTTTGCGTGGCTTTACCCAGGCTGCTTTGCTCTGTCTCAGGTGAGGTCCTCTCTGGGGATCACCCCATTGGCTGAAGATGAGGCCAGTCCTTCTCCTGTGTTTCAGTAAGTATCCCTCCCCATCCTCCTGGGATCTGTCCCATAGCAGGGTGGTCACAGCTCTGGGTAGAAGGACAGTTAACCAAAACGTGAGCATTACCTGTCACCCTTTAGTCCTAGGGTTTGGCACACTTGTCTATTGGGGACACCCATGAGGTTTCTCTGCTCCGTCAGGCCTTCAGGAAGATGGCTTGCTGCCTCTCTTGAGGTGTCATCCTATTCCCACCTGGGGGTGGTTTCTGCTCCCCAACTTCCCTGCACAGTTTCTTTCCCACCCTTTCACTCCCAGGCTGGCTCCAGACCCATCATTCATGGCTCGAGTTCTCGATTTTCCAGCGAACTGGAGCGAGGCACTCACAAAATGTGGGTCAAATTTGCAGATAAGGGGGCAACAAGGACGCAGGTGTCTCCCAGTGCTCCACAAGTGGCCAGCAGCCCGCCCTCCTCTGGGCTGTTGACAGAGGCCACGCTACCAGTGAGGAGAGTTGTGGACTGTGACCTGGTGGCCAAGCGTGTGTCTGAAGCTTGACCTGAAAGTGACATTTCAGGGTCATCCATGGGTGTTGGTTGCCAGTTTCTCCTCCTTTTTAAAAAATATATATTTTATTGATTTTTTACAGAGAGGAAGGGAGAGGGATAGAGAGTTAGAAACATCGATCAGCTGCCCCCTGCACACTCCCCACTGGGGATGTGCCTGCAACCAAGGTACATGCCCTTGACCGGAATCGAACCTGGGACCCTTGAGTCCACAGGCCGACGCTCTATCCACTGAGCCAAACCGGTCAGGGCCTTTTTTTCTTTTTTAAGTTGGGGTTACAGAACATGAAATCAGCGTTTTTACAGAATAGCCCCAGGATTATAATAATTACCTTCACCAGCGAGTGTGAGCAGGAGAGAAGGAGAGGGTCTAGTCCTGTCCATGTCTGCTTCCCTGAGGGACGCGGGGGTGGCCGTCTTAGACCCGCTGCTCTTCAGGCTGACCCCCAGCACCCCTGTGATTTCAGTCTTGCCCAGCTTCCTGTGCACCCAGCAAGCCTGCTCCCGTGGGGCCTGCTATCCTCCTGTTGGGGACCTGCTCATTGGAAGGACCCAGCATCTCCGAGCTTCATCCACCTGTGGACTGACCAGGCCTGAGACCTACTGCACGCAGTATGGCGAGGTAGGCCTGAGCTCCGTGGCCTCCAGGGCTGGAGGAAGGAGAGGTGGGTGGGGTGGGGAGCCTGCCGTTGTTCACTGAATATTTACAGTGCACTTGGTATAGGCCAGTGGTCGGCAAACTGCGGCTCTGCAAACCGCGGCTCGCGAGCCACGTGCGGCTCTTTGGCCCCTTCAGTGTGGCTCTTCCACAAAATACTGGCTCTTCCACAAAATACCGACTTCTGCGCATGGGCCACGAAGTTTCAATCGCGCTGTACGTGCGTGCCCGCATGCGGTATTTTGTGGAAGAGCCACACTGAAGGGGCCAAAGAGTCTCATGTGGCTCGAGAGCCGCGGTTTGCCGACCACGGGTATAGGCCCAGCCCCATGCACTATGGGGGGTGCAAGAAAGTATAAGGCTGGGCAAGAGGAAAGGTACTCAGAAGCAGCTGAATAGCTCCTCTCTCTCTTTTGCTCCATAAAACTGGAGCGTGGGCAGAACAGTTATTTCTCAGCCCTCCGGGGCATGGGCAGGACAGTCATTTACGTCTTGGGGACAGGCAGTGATGCTTTATATGTAGGGTCTGATGTGCCATGTTTGGTGGACAAAGTCAAAGCCTGCGGAGCACAGGTGCTGGGGGACGCGGGGGTGGCCGTCTCCCCCAGCTCTTGTGTCATGCCAGCGGGAGAACTGAGTGGCACCACGGTCACGCTATTGCCATCATATCTTTGGCCAGTGCTGGGGGATGGCTGTGGACAGAGCTAGCAGGAGGATATATGGTTGTAGGCTGGAGTTTACCTTTTGTGCTTTGTAGTTATCATGCATAAAGATCCAACTTTCTTACCTCTCGACCTCCTTGATCCAAATGCTTTGTTCCCTGAGGCAGAAGGGGAGACATCCAAACTGTTGTTAAAGGACATAGATCAGTGACATGAATGAGAAAGTGACGTGAGGCTAGCCAGGAGGTGCAGGGGCTCAGTGGATAGGTGAGAAGATGAGCAGAGCGAATCCAGGAGCGCCAACACTTCAAGCTACACCAATTAACGTCGCCTGTAAGGTAACGGATTTATTCAAAGTGCTGCTGTGAGTTTTCTTCTAGATTTTTCTTCTGTATTGGCTCTGGAGTTTATTTTTTTGTAGGAACTTCAAAAAGGTCGGGGCCTTTCTTTGCTTTCATGTTCGCTAAGGTTCAAGCCACTCAGCGTTTTCTTGTTTCCCAGCTGCTTATCTCATTGGACCATTTTTTTCTGCCCTCAAAATACAGGTTTGGGTGAAGGAGTTTTTGAGGGTGTAGTTTGCCTTGAGTCTCTGCAGCCTTTGGGGGGAGGGGGAAAGAGAGAGACAGAGAGAGCAAGGGAGTGAGAGAGATTGATTGCTGGGAAGGAGATGTGTGTTATCTGTGGTTTCCTCTTTCCAGAATGTTCTTGTCCTCAGGACCATGGCGATGTATCTGATACTGCATCTGGGCCTCAGGGCCCGTCTAGTCCCCGGTGTTCTTTTGGCAACTTTAAATCACAGATGGTATTGAGTTGTCCTTTGAATGTGCTGAGCCAAGATGGCTGTGGTTTCTGCATCTCACCCACTTGGAAATGGGAGAACCGTCTGACAGCGTTGGGTAAGATGGCCGGCAGCAGGCGAGGCCTCCCTGTGGGCCCAGATTACTCCACAAGCATCCGGGGACCTGGCCGGATTGAGCTTTCTGGGCAATAGAATGACTGTAGCTGTCCCTTCTCACACACCCTCAAAATCCCATGCCACTGAGCCACATCTAGAAATTTCAGAGAGACCTCTGCCTCTCTTCCTTAGGCTGACCCACCTCTGGGAGAGGAAGCAAGGAGAGATCAGAGGCCCCAGTGCTGGGCCGTCCCCTCCGCCCCAGCCCTGTCTGGACAGCCTCCCTCCCTCTGGGCCTGGGGCTTTGGGTTCATCCTGGCTCACCCTCTGAGTCTCGTGGATGCCCTAGGAAGCCAACTGCTTTCCCTGCTTTTAAGTCGCCCCTCGAGAGCGAAAAAGGGTGCTTGCAAAAGAGAAGTCTAGACTTACAACCCTGGGGATAGATAAATCTCAGCTGTTTGTGGCTATGAATGTCGGCAGGCATTGGCCCTTCTTCTTTTTCTCTAAGGGGAGCAGATCCATGGGCCCTCTTGGAAAGAGTAGCGGACAGGGCATTTGGAGTGCAGGGTGCAACCCCAGGTCTGCCACTCACCTGTGATGTGGTCAGATGCTACCCCCCTCCAAGTCTCAATTTTCTCTTCCGAGAATGAGTGTCAGATGAAATGGTCTTCAGGGTCGCTCCTTGCTCCGGCCCTCTTTGGGAATGATCTAACTTCCAACCAGCTTCTCTCCTACCCACTCTGTGTCTTGTCTGATTTGGCCCTCCCTCTCCCTTACCTGCCTAATCTCCCAGAGGCCCCGGGTTGCCAGGGGTGAACCCACACACTGCAGGCACAGATACTCCCTTCCTACGATGTACCCCAAGTCCTCACTGGGTGCAGAGGTGGCTGGGTGCTGAGTTCCAATTTCAGTTCTTCAGTTTATTTTATTAGTAGACATTATAGCAGCTATAATTTACTAAGCACGTACTATTCATCCCAGGCACCATACGAAGGGGCTTATATAAATTATCGCAATTAATTTTTCACAAAACTCTATGAGGTGGCTCTTTTTATCCCCATGAGCTCCTGGGAGGGTGTGTGCTGGGACCCCAAACCTCTAATGGAAACACATCAGGGTTGAGTTTTCTGAGCAGTCCCAGCTGGAAAGAGGGTGGCAAGATACAGAGATGCATTGTTAATGCCTTTCCTCTTCCCCCCACCCCCTGTCTCCTCTCTATCAGCCCCCACTCCCATATACACACCTTCCTTAAGTCAAAGCCTCTGGTTACTAAATAGTGCCTCTGTCCTATTTCCATCCAGGGGTGACATTGTGAGCCTGGAGCTCAGTACAAGATCACCCAGCACCTGCTGCCTGCCCACTGCCCTGGCACGGATGCAAGTGCCATGGGGATTGGTGACCCTGGACATTTCTGCAATGCTCACTCCCCACCCTCCAGCTGCATGGGGACTCAGTGGAATAGGAGTTGCAGAAGCCAGTGGGACCCCTTCCAGTTCCAAAATTGTCTGTCCCAGCTCCAAATATCAGAGTGTGCCTCTTTTTGTGTGGGCCAGCTTAGCCTGTTGGCATGCTGCCTCTGCCTAATTTTATCTCAGTGGCTAAATCCTATTGGCTTCGAAGGCTAGCTTTGGTGGGTTTGGGGTCCATATTGCAACCCTCCCGATGAACATAGAACTTGCCCGGCTTTGCCCGTGTCACTCCTCCCCACCCACTTCCAGGCTGCCTATCTTGACTACCCATTAGCTATCTGGGTTGGGCCCAGGCAGTGTTTTACCTAAATGGCCTGAGGCTTCAGTACCATCCTGTCCCCTTGTTCTCTTTCTTCCAGCTTCTAGATAACCTCTGGGTAACCTCATTGCACCGTTGTCCCCTGAAGCTCAAGCATGAATGAAAAGGTCTATGACCGTCCCTACTCTTGTTCTCTTCTCTCCTGGAGCCTCAGTTCCTCATTTGAAAAAATGGGAGTAAGGACAGTATCCGCTTCAATAAGTTGTTGTGAGGACCGTATAAAAGAATGAGCTACCTGGCCACTGGTGTGGTGTCTGGAAGATGCTAAATGTTCCATCCCTTTTCCTACCCACCTCTGGGACCTGTGTCTACACATAGAGACCACTCTGAGAATCACACTCCTGAGATTTCTTCCCTGATCAGGATAAATACTTGCATACTTGTTGAAATGAACCCATCCTTGGGCCATCCACCCTGCCGCCACGGTGACAGCCGCGGATCTGATTTGCAGCGGGTGTTAGAGGATCTGGAGGAGGCATGGTCAGTGAAGTCGCCTGCCTGGTCCTGGCTGCCGCTCTGGTCCTGGCTCTGACACTTGGAATAGAAACGTGACCTTACAAAGGCCGTGGCTCATCTCTAGACCCCACTTCCCCATTTATGAAGTGAAAGAGTTGGGTTAGTCAACCTTTACGTTAGTTCAGCTTTAATATCTCCGCCAGCTGCTTGGAGTTGGCTGGGCTGCGTGTGTGACCTTGAGGGTCTGCCGTGTTCTTTCTCAGATGAGCACTGGCGGGGCCTGAGCCGTGCCCTTTGGTTGTCTCTGGGCTGGTGCACGCTCCTCCAGCCCCATTTCTGCTCCTGACAGCGTCTCCTCCAATGTGTGTCTGTTCCCCCAGATGCTTTATGTACCCCCCACTCCCGCCTAAGTGGGGGAAAACTTAATTACCCAGCTGCCTTAATAACAGTCTTACCCAGTGCATTCCTCAGGTTAATTAGCTGTGTACACCGAACAGCTGTCTTCTTCTCCTTTTTTTAAAAATCCTCACCTGAGGATATTTCCCTGTTGATTTTTAGAACGTGTGGAAGGGAGGAGGAGAGACAGCGAGAGAGAAACATTGAGGTGCCCTTGACTGGAATTGAACCTGGGACCCTTCAGTCTGTGGGCTGATGCTCTACCCACTGAGCCAAACCAGCAGGGTCAGCTGTCATTTTTATCACCTGGGAGCAAGCTGAGGGGGCAGTAGGCAGTTGACTTCCTTTCCTCCCCAACACACACACACACACACACACACACACACGTGAGTACACCCACACCCACATGCACACACCCAACAACCACTGTCTTTCTTTAGTGATTGTTTTCTTGACCTTTGACATGGCTAATGTGTAGACAGGGGATGGTGTTCATGTAGGTCTTGAGGGCCTCATCCTCCCTGCTCTCAAAGGACTTGGAGACTGTCTCTGAGTCAAATATCTGCTCTCCTGTTTCCCAGAAGCTGTCAGCAGGTCTGAAACTCTCAAAGCAAAGCTCTAACCACTGGGGGTGAAGCATCGTTGAGTTCCTTGTTTAAAATGCAAACACCCTTGGGAAAGGCACCATATGAGTCTATTATCAACCATTTATAACTCAGTAAGGAATTGCTTATGAGAAAATTAGCTCTGGATTTTGCAAAAGGTCC